TGTTCTAGACACTTTTACGTTTTGTACATATGATGAGTCAACATAGTATTTGTGAACCAAATTAACTCACTTTAATACTTCTATTTGAAATAACACCTATAATCCAAGTATAATTATTAAAACTGAAAGAAATGAAGAATAAAATATCAAATTAAAATAAGTATCAAAAAAGTATTTAAATAAAAAATATAATATAAAGTACAATACTACTTTAATATATAAGTACAATATATTAGTAAAAGTAATTTTAAATAAAGTTAAAAAAATAAACCACTAAAAACTTGAAATTAATTTTAAATAAAACAAAAACAAATATTTTTTATTTCAACTCATATTAACCACTAAAAACTTGAAATTAATTTGGTTAATATTTTTTTTTTTTGATGTACCAAAAAAAAATATTAACCAAACAAGTTATATAGTAGTTAGATATCTTGTATTTATATATTGTAAAAATAATCTTCTCAATAGAAAAAAATCATTTCATAAACAAAATTTGTCTATAAACAAAGGGATGAGAATAGGAGGGAAATAATCCTAGCCTTAACCTTAACTTTCTTGTGAATTAAAAATCATTTAATTTGTGTAGCCAAACAACCCAAATTAAAGTCAAATAGTAACATCAAACTTAAATAAGAATAATTTTGCCACCGATCCCTATCACACAACCCTACTTAGCCAGCTTAGTTATTTTTTTTTTCTTTTTGCAATTGAAGAAGCTGGGAAGGATAGAAGAGTAATTTGGCATGTTACAGTCCACATGGAAGCATATGATGGCAAGTTAAGGTTGTCTTGAGATGTTCCAACACATGTTACCGCAACAATAATATTTTTTATTGCTTCTGTCCCACCAAAGTTTATCCCTTCCACGGTTCCACCTGCTCCTGCCACGAGCAATACATACATTTCATCCTACACATAAGAAATAAATTTCGCAAAACTCTTTCTAATTTATTTCTTTTTCATTTTTTATCACTCTAGCCGATAAGGAAATCTAATAGTTATTTTGTTATCCAAAATAAATATAAATTAAAGATATATTATTTTAAAGTTAAAGAACAAATTATCAAAATCAAAGCATGATATTTTAATCATATAGTATACCAAAATTTTAAAACTAAATTCAAATTAAAATTGATCCAGAGTATGATAATTTTACTAAAGTAAAAATACCTCTAATGTAATATATTGTATATAATTTCAAATTTAAATCAAATTTAAATTAAAAAATCACTCTTATATATTAAATATAAATAGTTATTTTACACGAGATAAATTATATTTAATTGAGTCCTCAAACGACATCATTCATTCACATTTTATTATTATAATTTACGAGTTCCTAATGTAAGTAACACTAACTATTTCTTACAACACTTACATAGTTACATTACTTAAAAAGAAAAAGTCTCCGTATTAAATTTTTTACCAAGCTGTAATGTAAAATTTCTGTGTTCAAAATAGTTAGAAATTCTCATCTATATAAACTTTCCCAGTGAAAAATATTAATTCTTGTTGAAATTTATGGTTCGTTTATTATTTATTAGAAAGTGGAAAATATTTGATCTTTACAAAAATAAGAGGATAACACAAATTAAGAGTAGATAGATAGAGAAGACAAAAATTGAAAATTTTGTTATTATATAAATTATGGGATAATTTTTTTATCTTTTAAGTATGAAATATTTAAAAGATAAAATATTTATATATTTTTATTCAATAAATTTTATTTTATTATCATTTTCATTATTATCACCATATTTCTTAATATTAAAATACCATTGACTATTATTATTATTATGGTGGATTTAATGTTAGTGGGACAATTTATTTTTTAAAACATAATAACAATTGCAATCAAGAAAAAAGAACGAAATATAATTTTAAAAAAGAAGAAAAGGAATGAAATATGAAGTGAAATGAAAAATCTAATTAAATAACTTATTAATTATTAGAAAAACTGAAATGAAATGAAAAATAAAGTAAAGTTAATCAATGAAAAATAAAAGTTGACAACTCCAGATAAATAATTATAATTTGACTTAAATATAATTTTAGTTTATATAAAATAAATGAATTTTGATTTTGACCTCTATAATTTTTTATTTATTTTTCATCTTCTAAAATCTGAAAACTTTATTTTTATTCTTGTAAAATGAGTAAATTTTGATTTTAATTTCTATAAAATATATTTTTTTATTTTCATCCTTCTAAAATTTAAAATTACTATTATTTTCCTTCCTAACTATGAATTTAATGTTAATAAATAATACTTATTTAAAAGACCTATAAAAAATTTAAAATTATCACATACTTCTTATTTAAATCATATAATTTTTTGAGGGTGGGAGAGTGGAATGCACAATCTCATTACAACATAAGTTTGGCATGAAATTATTGTAATCACCCTTGACCAACAATGTCGCCAATCTCGTCATCATGGACTATTGCTTTGATTATTATCATTGTAATTGTCATCATTATTATTAATACTAGTAAGGTCGAGGCACTTCGTACCTTTATTAAAGATAAAATAAATAAAAATTAAGTAATTAATATATGTTGATCTAATGTTATAATTAGTTAATTAATTTTAGAGTCTTGATTTTGATAAAAATATTATTTTTTCTAATATTTTTAAAATGAAAGAATATAATGGTCAACAAAATATGGAGACTAATGTGGTTACTAAAAGGAGTATCTCCTTTATATATTAGTATAGGTTAATTTTAGGGTCTTGATTTTAATAAAAAAATATTATTATTTTTAGAATAAAAGGGTAAAATGACGAACAAAATGTGGAGACCAAGGTGGTTACTAAAAGGAACATCCCCTTTATATATTAGTATAGATTACTAATATTGTCGTCACCAACATTATTATCAATATTATCACTAATAACACTACTATTAAATCGTCATTGATGTCATTCTTGCTACCTTACACCATCAACATTATCATTATCACCATTAATATTGTCATTGTAGTAATATTAACATAATTAATATGAATTTTATTAAAAAAGATAATATTAAAAAGAGTAATATAATAAATTTCACATTTGATTTTCTTATGTTATATATATATATATATATACTAAACTATCACATTACAAAAAGTTGTCTCTTAACTCGATCAATGGCTTGGAATGTTTTCCTTAAGTCGTATTTTTTTGAAAAGTCCTTGTGTTAGCACCATGAAATCTATTTGTTCATGTTTTCTTTCAACATCGTGTCATGTACATTCAACTAGTACAAAGTATGAACAGCGACAAAGGGGTAGTAACTTGATGACCAAGCTAATTGTGCGTGGCATGTTCCATCGAGGGACAAGAACACACGTTACAATTACAAGAAGACTCAGTCGCATTGCATAGTAGAGTAGTAGATAAACTTTATTGTATGTACCCCTAAGGAAGGGAAGCCCAAGATTGGGTGGCTCCACGTTGGTCCAACTCTGACTAGGCTTTGGCACAAATTCAATCGGTTAAAGCCCAATTTAAGCAAAAAGGTACAGTGATAGCGGCTGAGGCCCTAAACTGGTTGGGTTGCCTATGCCACCCTTTTCTACATGTTAGTGTTTAGTCTCATAAACACAATAAAGAAGCATTTGCCACGCTGTCTTCAATAATTACTCCATCAACATGTGCTTGCCTACACCTACGCATGTGACCATGTCATTGTTATCATTTTTGGCTATCTTGTACCTTTCTCTATCTCCAACTTCTTCAACACTTTTCAATAAACTTCTATTTATCTTCATTTCTTCTAATGCCAGGTTTACTGCACCATCATCACACCTTTTTTTTTTTTTTTATTTATGTGAATTATGGTATTGGCTAAATTAGAATTTATATATAGTTAATACAAATGATAAGATAAAAAAAAAATGGTATATGTACCAACCTGGCTTAAGGTCGAGCTCAACCGAGTTCATTAGACAATTTTGACCGAGATGACCATTTAGTCAAACTAAAGTAAATATATGAAATGTTAAGGTGTGACATCGGAGAAGGAAGATTGGTAATACACCTCAGCATATCAATGACATTGAATATGACTCAACCGCCGATAACCCTTAGAAAATAACCAAACAACAGTTACACGGTTACTCAAGAACGGCCACAGGTAATAATATATGCAATACATGAGATAGGAGAGATAACTAACTTGATCTTCGGAATCCTTTTTGCAGGTACATCTGAGACGCTTGGGCAAGAAGACCGGAGAGAAGGAATTCACCCCAGTGACCGATCTCATCTGACCTTGACTGAATCGAACGAGGTAGATCCCAGTTTTATTTGCCACAAATTAGCCATTTACAGCGAAGCAAAGCCAATATCTCAAAAGCAAAGAAAGATTGGTGGCGAGAGAAGAGAAGCTGTTAAAATTGAGACTCAAAAATTGTTGAATGCGGGATTCATCAAAGAGATTAAGTACACCACTTGGCTAGCCAATGTCGTGATGGTCAAGAAATCTAACGGCAAGTGGCGTATGTGTGTTGACTATACAGACCTGAACAAAGCCTGTCCAAAAGATGCACACCCTCTACCCAACATTGACAGATTAGTGGATGACACCTCGGGTTATGCTATGTTGAGCTTCCTAGATGCCTACTCGGGCTATAATCAGATCCTCATGTATCCCCCAGATGAAGAATACATTGTTTTTATCACAGAGCAAGCCAATTACCGTTATCATGTCATGCCGTTTGGACTTAAGAATGCTGGAGCAACATATCAGAGACTAATGGACAAGGTCTTCTCTGACCAGATTGGCTGTAACCTTGAGGTTTACGTTGATGACATGGTCATCAAAACGAAATCAGCCATGGATCACGTCCGAGACCTCGAAGAGATCCTCCAACAAGTCAGAAAGTACAACATGAGATTAAATCCTGAAAAATGTGTTTTTGGAGTTTAAGGTGGGAAATTTTTAGGATTTATGATTACTTGCCGAGGGATAGAAGCAAATCCAGACAAGTGTCAGACATTGATCAACATGAGGAGCCCCCAAAATCATAAAGAGGTACAAAGATTGACGGGCAGACTTGCTAGTTTATCTCGGTTTATCCCCAAGTTGGCAGAAAAAGCCAAACCTATTTTTAACTTGCTCAAAAAACCCAAGGATTTTCATTGGGATGACCGATGTGAACAAGCATTTTCTGATTTTAAAAACTTTTTATCTTCACCTCCTATTTTGACCAAGCCTCAGGCCCAAACCGATCTCTTGTTATATCTCGCCGTGATGGACAATGCAATCAGTGCAACACTCATGCAAGCTGACGGTAAAAAACAAATTCCTGTTTATTTTATCAGTCGTGTTTTGCAGGTGACCGAGCAGAGGTATCAAACTATTGAGAAGTTGGTCCTCGCCTTGATAACATCAGCTCGCCGTCTTCGGCCTTATTTTCAAAGTCATCAGATTGTAGTCAAGACTGACTATCCTATCAAACAGATTCTTCGGAAACCCGATCTAGCAGGTCGGATGACAGCTTGGTCAGTTGAGCTGTCTGAGTACGAAATTAAGTATGAAAGTCGGGGAGCGTTGAAAGCCCAATGTCTTGCTGATTTCATAGCCGAGCTCACACCCAGCGTTTCGTTGGAAGACCCATCTTGGACTTTACATGTTGATGGCTCATCCAATACCAAGGGTAGTGGTGCTGGAATTATACTCGAAGGTCCTAATGACATGATGCTCGAGCTTGCAATCAAATTTGATTTCCGAGCTACTAATAACCAGGCAGAATACGAAGCTTTGCTTGCAGGTTTGAGATTGGCCAAGGACGTTGGAGTCAAGAAGCTCAGGTGTTGTAGCGATTCAAAGTTAATGACAGAGCAAGTAGGGGGACGTTATCAAACAAAAGAACCACAGCTCCAAAGGTATAACCTCATGGTATCTCATTTAACCTCCTCCTTTGATCATTTTCAGATCGAGCATATTCCACGAGCACAGAATCTTAGAGTCGATTTGCTATCCAAGCTAGCCAGTACTAAACGTCCAGGACAACATAAAACAATTATTCAAGAGACAATCAGTACTCCCAGCTATGATTCTGCAGCAATATTGGCCAACACCCCTGGTCAGTCAAGTTGGATGACTAACATTTGGCAATACTTTACCGATGGAACTTTACCAAGTAACAAAGTGGAAGCTACAAAAATCAAAGCCAAAGCTTGTCATTTCACAATCGAAGCAGGTGAATTGTTCAAGAGGGGATTCTTAGTACCCCTTTTAAAATGTCTTGACTTAGATCAGGCCGAGTACGTGATGAGCGAGATCCATCGAGGCATCTGTGGCATGCACTCTGGAGCTCGGTCCATGGCAGCAAGAGTAGTCCGAGCTGGCTACTATTGGCCGACTATGAGATCAGATTGTAAGACATTTGTACAAAAATGTGAAGCTTGTCAAAAATTCGGCAACCTACATCAGCTACCTGCAACAACACTTCACTCCATGCAGTCAGCATGGCCTTTTGCATGGTGGGGCATGGACATACTTGGTCCCTTCCCAATTGCCAAAGGCCAATTGAAATTCTTAATTGTAGGGATTGATTACTTCATAAAGTGGATCGAAGCTGAACCTTTAGTGAGAATTACAGCAACTAATGTGCAACGGTTCACGTGGAAGAAAATCATCTGCAGGTATGGCCTACCTCAAGCAATCACCACAAACAATGGCAAGCAATTTGTAGATAAAAATTTTGAGCAATTCTTGAAGCAACTCAGGATCAAGCATAAAGTCACCTCAGTAGAACACCCACAAACAAATGGCCAAGTTGAGGCAGCAAATAAAGTGATTCTCCGTGAACTTAAGAAGAGGCTAGGATCTTCCAAAGGAGAGTGGGTTGAAGAGTTACCTAGTGTTCTGTGGGCATACCATTGCACACCACAGACCACCAGTCAAGAAACTCCCTATAAGTTGACCTATGGTTCTGATGCAATGATACCCGTTGAAGTTGGCGAGCCAAGTCACAGAAGGTTAACATTTACCGAGTCCCAAAATGGAGAACAGCTGAGCTTGGACAGAGATTTACTTGATGAAACAAGAGAACATGCCCGGGTACAAGAAGAAGCATGCAAGCTTCGAGCATCACGGAGGTACAATTCGAAGCTCAAACCGAGATCCTTCCACGAAGGAGATCTCGTCTGGGGAGCCACAGGCAATGCTCGGAAGGATACATCGGCAGGAAAATTTGCAGCCAATTGGGAAGGTCCTTTTCGCATCCTAGAATGCCTACAAAATGGAGCATATAGACTGACCGAACTCAGTGGCAAAGTTCTTCCTAGAACTTGGAACGCCACCCATTTGAAATTTTATTTTAGTTGAAATGTGTAAACCCAGGTAATGTACTCTTTTTCCTACTTCAGTCTTTTTTCCCAATAAAAAAGAAGGGTTTTGGCTGAAGAAGTTTTAACGAGGCATACCTGAGGTCAACAATAGAGATGTAATGCACATATAACTCAATATTACAAGTTCTCTCTTCTTCCAATTTTATTTCTTCTCTTTTATTGTCTTCCAATTTTACACTATGATTCTTTCCTTTCGCACTTTAACTTTTTGCTCATTTTTAATTCATTACACCTAAAAATTGGCCAAATCTGAGCCGATGTTAATGAATTCTTCCAAATCTGGGTCGACGTTATCTCTGATTCGAAACTTGGCCAAGTTTGAGCCAACGTTATTCAATTCGGCCAAGTCTGAGCCAATGATGAACATCTGGGTCGATGTTATCTTTAACTCGAAACTCGGCCAAGTTTGAGCCAATGTTATTCAATTCGGCCAAGTCTGAGCCGATGATGAATAAATTCATCCAAATCTGGGTCAATGTTATCTTTAATTCAAAACTTGGCCAAATTTGAGCCAATGTTATTCAACTCGTCCAAGTATGAGTCGAGCCTAGTTTCAATTTGAAACTTGGTCAAGTTTGAGTCAATATTAATCAAGTATTATTAACCTTGGCTAATTTCTAGATGACATTAATCAAGATTTCGAAATTGGCCAAATTCGAGCCATTAGCCAAATTTGAGCAATAATTCAGCCAAGTTTGAGCAATAGTTTAGCCAAGTTTAAGCAATAGTTTAGCCAAGTTTGAGCAAAATTTATTCTTTGTTCATAACACGGCCAAATTTATGTTAATCCTATTTTATCCATATATTAGATAAATCGGCCACGTAAGAGCCAATTTCACTACTTTCAACACAAGTTATTTACCTCAGTCTCAATTCACAACATGACTAAGTTTGAGTCAAATTTAAGCATAACAATGTAAATAACTTAATATTCAAAACTTCACAAGATTGTCAGCAATTACATAAAACGCCTATGAATACGTTAGCAAGCAATAGTAAAGTAAACATAAATCCTAAATGCAAAATACCCTAATGTTCATTAAATTAGCAAAGCTATTCAGTATTCTCTTCGTCGCTTATATCATCAGGGATGTCGTCTTCATTAACAAGTTTTCCTTTGAAAACATCATTGGTGATATGAACCTCTCTTAAGTCGACATTTGGGGCAATGCACTTCACTTGTCGTAAAGCTTTAGAAAACCCCTTCTTATGTTCTACGACTACTTCATACTCGGTAGCCTCCATCTCTTTCTTTAGCCTTTTGTTCTCATTCTCCATTTCTTGAATCTTCCTCACATTAGCAGCAATAACTTCTTGACAGGCTTTATTCTTCTTGTAAAGCTCCACCATCTCGCCTTTCAAGTTCTGCGTATTCTCCTCATGCTCCTTTGCTTTCCTTTCCAACGTCTTCACAGCTTCTGCTTGGACTTCTTTTTCTTTTTCTAACATACTCACCTTCTTCAAAAGGTCCTCCACCTTAGCTGCATATGTCTTATTCGACCTCACAGAAATCTCAAATGCCTTTGAGTTTTCCTCCAACTTTTTCTTTAAACTACCAACCTCAGCATTTAACGACCCAACCTGGGCATTCTCGGTCCTCAGCTTGGACATCAGTGCATCATTTTTATCCCACTTCTTCTTCCAATGATCTACCACAGCGATAGATCTTTGCAAAAACACTTGCACGGAATCTAAACCTTGGACAGGACCATCCTTTTCAATTAAAGCCTTATCATCGATATAGGCTGGATCTTCCTTATAAAATGACTCTGCAGTTAACTCGGCATTTCAAAAGGACTTCACGTCGGGTGACATGCTCACATGATCCAACCTCGATAACGGATTCTCAGTATCATATCTCTGATGTATTGATATCGGTCGATTTTTGGTTGACCCCCCATGCGGAGTCGGCGAACTCACACCGAGTTGAGCAATTGAGGCCTCCAAATTAGACACCAACTGTTCCGATGACTTAGGAACTTGTGCGTTTGAAGGCTACAAAAGACCAATTTGAAATTAGAGCAATTCACATAATCATATCATAGTTTCTAATAACAACGAGAGACATACCTTTTCTTTCTCCAAATCAATAACAGGAATGGTCATGTCTTTGGCCACATCCTCCTTCGGAGCACTTGAACTTACAACGTGAGCAGCACTCTCATGCCCCTCACTAATAGCATTGTCAGCAAGCTTATGCTCCTCAGTTTTTGACTCGTCACCTCCTATCTTTTGTTTCTTCACCTTCGGCTTAGGAGGCGCTGCATCCGAAATCTCTTCTATGTTGAATTTCCCCTTCAATTCACGCCATTTACTCTTCCCCATGATACCTACATCACCCAGCATCATATTATGTTAGAATCAATTCAAGATGTATTTAATCGTCATCAACATTATAATTATAACTTACTCTCTAGATCATCTTGAGGATTCTTTGATCCAGCAAGCACTAAAACTGACTTGCTTTCTAAAGGCCGAGGTAGCTTTTGCAATTTTTCTATATCTTCCACCTCGGAGGGTGTTAGTTCCAAACCTTCCGAACCAGAAAATTTAATAGGCTGAGATTGCCAGTAGAAGGGAAATCTCGGCTTTCCATTCAAGAAAAACACACAATCTAAACTCGGATCACTACATGTAGACCGAATTTTGACGAATTCTTGTTTGAAGTTCTTGTAGGATTGTGTGAATATTTGAAACAATCCTCCTCTTTTTGAACTCCCACTCAACGAAACCCAGCCAAAAGGTGGCTCTCCTAACTTTATTTGATAAAAATGCATAAATTTCAACACACTCACTTCCATCCCTAATACTGCACACAATATTTGAAATGCACGCAAAAAACCCTAACTATTAGGGTGTAGCTGACTTGGCGCTACGTTAACCTTTTCCAAGAACTCACATTCAAACGGTGTGAACGGCATTAGAACCCCTAAATCCTTAAACACGCACTTATACATATATACACTAGGGGACACATTTGATCCTTCGAAGTACACACGCTCTTCAAACAAACAGGGTTCTATCACGATTTGCTCTAACATAGGAGGCACCCAAAACTTCAGGTGATGCTGCAACACACTCACCCCCATTAAATCCCCAAACCTGCTGCTATATTGACCAACATCACCTCTTACCCATTCATACCCAGATGTTACAATTCTGGGATGAGAATCTCTTCGATTGTTTCCTCCCCTTTTTCGCACTTTCGTCTCCTCCGCCTCAACCATTTACTCTTTCCTTTACCACCTTTCATTCCACCCTATTCCCTCAATCTACGCCTTCGGGATTCGTATAGAACGTAGCTACAACTTAAACGCAAAGTAGCAGGGCTAAGGGAATACTTGGAAATGCAAATGCTTTACACACGATTGACGCTACTTTCACGCTTCGCCTTCCAGCACCTCTCTAACAAAGCGTATGAATGATAAGTGAATCCTCACGAGTGTATGCACAGACCCCTTTTTAATGGCTATTCTTACATCCCTCCAAAACCCAAATGTTTTCTTTAAAAATCACACATCCCCACGCGCCTGTCGTTTCGTATGTGATGCCCATTTATTACATCCCATCACTCTTCAACATGTGCGCTGAAACGACACGACCCCTTGGGTACCAACTGTCATTATCCTATCACTGTGGCTCCTCACGTCACCTCCAGTGTGCAACAATTCTTTGCGATATGACCCCTCATTTTTCAATCTCGGTCATCTCTGCATTTAGGCTACTCCGGCCTTATCAACCTCTTTCGCTCCTACCTCGCTTAGAGCTTAGGGGGCTTATGTACCAACCTAGCTTAAGGTCGAGCTTAACCGAGTTTATTAGACAACTTTGACCGAGATGACTATTTAGTCAAACTAAAGTAAATATATGAAATGCTGAGGTGTGACATCGGAGAAGGAAGATTGGTAATACACCTCAGCATATCAATGACATTGAATATGACTCAACCGCCGATAACCCTCAGAAAATAACCAAACAACAGTTACACGGTTACTCAAGAACGGCCACAGGTAATAATATATGCAATACATGAGATAGGAGAGATAACTAACTTGATCTTCGGAGTCCTTTTTGCAGGTACATTCGAGACGCTTGGGCAAGAAGACCGGAGAGAAGGAATTCACCCCAGTGACCGATCTCATCTGACCTTGACTGAATCGAACAAGGAAGACGACTTATCCGAGTTAGGGATCCGACCTGATTCGTGTAAGTACAGTATAAAATAATGTATGAGTATACAATGACTTCATAAAATTAATTTAGATAACGCATGTTAAATCGACAATTTTATTAGTCTAAATTTTAAATTAAATAATAATATTAATATATGTTTAAAGATTACAATGATAATAAATAATTAAAATTAAAAACTTATTTTATATTTCAACCATTTATCTAATATATATTTTTTAATTTTAAGGTGTAACGTGTGATTTTTCCAATATCATAAACTAAAGTAACTATTTGTTCAAGAAAATATAATGAACCAATGAATCTTGATACAATTTTACAATAAGTTTTAACAACAAATATATGTGCATAAAATGATATAAACAACATTTTACTGGAAAATTTATTATGTAGAGAACGATGAATCATATGAATAAAATTAAAATTAAAATATAAAACATACTATTTTAAGCTTATATAGGAAGCCTGTATTAGAAGAATGTGATTTTTATGCAAAAATTGGAACATTCAATCTCAACTCTTAAATTATAATTAAAGTTTTAGATTAAAACATTATAAATAAAGTTATCATATACCTCTATTATTATTAGAATCGTGATTATTATGTTATTTTCATTAAGAAAAAGACACTTAACCACTTAATTAATAATTTTTTAATATATTAATAAAAGTTATGATATATACTTTCAATGCGAATAAAAACTGCACATATATTTATTATTATTATTATGTAATATATTTATATATTAATTGACAATTTAATACTAAAAAATATATTAGGATAAA